GTTTATTGGCAGAACAATTTCTGATTCGATGGTCACACGCAATGGGAAACCAGTGTACCCAGTAAGGCCGTATTTCGTTTCGCAAACAAAGCTTTCGCCAGGGCAGGCATTTGTCGGTTTTGTGGGTTTAGTCGCAAAAAAAATAAAACACCGAATCAACACTCTGTCCGATGTTTGTGCGAATAACAGTCGAATGGCTATAGCTCATTTGATATAATGAGGCACGGAGTTAAGGTGAGTTTTCAACAAACTCCAGTATAACCAAGTTCTTTAATTATGTGGATGACTGGAAACAGGTAGGCCTAATAATTCACGGCTACGAAGATAAGGTTTACTAGGAAAAATCCGACGCTCCAATCGAACGGACATCGGTCATCAATAGAAAGCACTTTATTGCCACTCCCAGTTTTAGACAACCAATGCATTGTCATTTGTCGAAGTATACACGAAATGGAAAAACTAACGTTGTCTGATAAAAGGGTAAGTAAAGTAGGCAAAAAACTTAAGGCAGTCAAGCTTAGGGCTGAAGATTTGGGTGATTGTCGCAAACTTCAATAGTTTCCGCTACACTTTAGACGGTGGGGGGAGACAACTTTCGATCGCTAACAAAAAATTCTGTTCAGCAAGGAATTCGTCCCCCTCCCCGCCGTGTGTTTCGGCGCAGGCGATCGAAAAAAGGCAGCAAGTCGTTGACCTGCGAGCAGTGTAGACAACGTCGTGCTCTGCTGCGGTGTCATGCCAGAATAATCGCACAAGACACACAGCTGCGCTACTGGTTGCTTGCGTCTTACGGCTGCAATTCGCCTTGACCTACCGTTTTGCAGAATTGCTCCACATATAGCACCCCTTGGGGGAGAGGGGGGGGATTAATAGAGCACTGGATAAGTACTTCGTCTTGCACTTTATAGGTTCCGGTTTTAGATCTCATGAGCGTTGTAGAATCAGCCACTAATTGCCTTGGACAAGGAATTCAGCTTACTCTGCCTTTGTGCAACCAGTCGCCGAGAAGTGAAAAGCAATGTCAGGGTCAGCATGAGGTTAT